ACAACTGTTAAACAAATTACGATTTTCTCAAAAATTCCCAAATAAAAACAAAACAGTTCAAAACTGCAGTTATTTTTTTCCAGACAAAAATTTCCAGACAAAAACGTTCGAAAACGACCATTTCCATGAATTATTATTTTTTAATTGAAGTTCAAGAGTTCAAGAAAATTTAACTTCAATTTCATTATGTATGTATTATTAATTTTTGTAAAGTTTAGCACGACCAAGGTATGTAAAACATACATTTTGAAATCCTACAACGCTTACACACTTTACAAACGATCACTTTTATCAAAATATTTTTCTATTTCTAAACCTATTTCTGTCTCCTTTCTGGTTAATCAAATCATCACGAATTGAAAGCAGAACTTTTAATTAATTAGCAATTAATTAATTCAACGAAACCTTAAATCTTCAAGCAATTCGTACTAACATTGCCATTTTTTCCGATATCCTGGACTGGCATCGAATCTTTTCAAGTCGTCAAAATTTATTTAAAACAAGTTAAAATATGTTTTTTTTACTAATTGATGCAATTTTAACACGAAATTCATAAAATGTTGACATGGTATTAGGAAATATGAAAAAGAGTCTTTCAAGGGAAATTCTTAATCAAGATCTTAATCAAGGTCTAATCACAGTGGAATAAATCTCTATTTTCTAATTCGCTAAAATTGGTCACACGTTTAGCATGAAATCAGTGAAATATCAGGAAAATTAGTGAAGAGAAACGCTCGGATATGATCTAACCACTTACAATGTTTAAGAGACATGTTTTCGAATTTTTAATTCTTTTCTAAAATTTGAAAAATTTTGAGAGTTTTTAAAACAATTTGAAATTCAATTAATTCAGCTGGCCTAACCATGAAGAAAAACCGAGGCTACAACGAATTTCATAAATTATGATTTTCCCAGAATTCTTAAAATGGCATCGACTCGTTAAAATAACGCTTTTTATAAGACTTGAACTGCAGTCTTACCGTAAGACTGCAGTTAATCATTAAATTACGAATTTTTCTAAAATTCTCGAACTGACATCTAGTCGTTACACACATATTTACGTAATGCTTTTTTAAAATTTCATCTCATTTCATTTCAGTATGCTTTATTTGGTATAATTTTTTTAATCGAAAATTTTCATAAAATAATTCTCCTGAACTCATTAAAAAGGAGGAAAAATTATATCTGCGTGTGTTAAATGCATAACGATTTTTTTTCTAAAATTCTTAAACTGGCATCTAGTCGTTACACACATGCGTTTTTTAAAACTGCATCCAAACGAAAAAGCAAAAATTGCGGCTATTTTTTTGTATAATTGATACACTCTTATTCCATAAAATTTAAATGATTGACATGAGTTTCTTCAAATATTCAACAGTTCCTTGAAAAGAAAAGAAAAGAAAAGAAAATTATTTATTCATTTGCCAATTTAACGAATCTACAGTGCAAACATTTTTTTTATTAATTTCTCAAAATTTCTCAATTGGCATCACCCCTTAACGTACGATATATAAATTATATATGATTTTTTAACATTTTATTTAACGGAAATTAAATATTTCTGACGATGAAATTAATTTATGAATTGATTGGAACTTTTATCTTTTGGACAAATTCTTAAAAAAACCTTGGAAATGCCTCACTTCAGATTTATTTTGACATGGTTTACCATTTTATAAAATTTCAATTTGATATTTGATTCCTTTTACGACGAATTCAAATTAGGGAATTTCTAAAAGACGGTGAGCTACAATGCTACAAATCCACATTGCATTAACGGTTAAACAACAAATTTTTTAAAAATTAAATCGCTTTTATCTTAAATTTTTTGAAATATTGGAAAACGTCTTTCTTAAAAAAGTTAAATTTACAACAAAATGCTGCAAATTGTGGCCAATGTTGGATTAATCTGCTCAAATTTAACGGTATCGTGAATGAGTATGCATGTCCATAACTAATTTTTGCATGTATGGAAATCCTTCCTCACTTCCTCCGGGATGACTGTCTCTCCAGTTTTGAAAAACTTTTCGAAACTACTTAATTTACTTTACAAATTATACACTTCATTTTTTAAATGTCAAAACAGAAATTCAAGCTTATTGAAATCTTTGCCAAATTCATTTCTGTCTCCTTTCTGTTGAATCATTTTTAAGGTGATAAATTCACAACAAATTTTGCAAAATGTGAAGTCATTGTAAAAAAAGCTGTTTACCTACATGACGTGTCCTCACCAAATACGCTCACAAAGTGAAACTAACAATGCGATGGTGTGATGTGTAACCTACGGATTTGTGCGATGGTCAGAATTTGGCAAAATATTTGAGGTTAAAGTTGAAAAATGTGCAATTTTTAGCACGGGAAGAGAATGGATGTTGAGTAATTATCCGCTTCATCCGCCTAGTAAAAATCGCACATTCTTCAGCTTTGCCCTCAAATATTCTGGCAAATTCTGACCATCGCACAAACTGCCTCAAGAAACGTTGGTTGTATTGGCATGGACCAAATAATTTCAAAATTTCAACCAAATCGGAGGGTTACACTTCACACCATCGCATTGACAGCATTTTTCCACGAATTAGTAAATAATTAATGTAAGCAAACTTTCCATCTACCTTCAACTTATTTACCCTGTACAAATTGTTTCAAAATATTGGACTGACGTCGAATATATTCAACTCGTCAAAATTTATTTAAAAACAACTTAAAATATTTTTGTGCAAATTGATGCATTTTCAACACGAAATTCATAAAATGTTGACATTGTATTAGGAAATATGAAAAAGGAATCTTTTCATAAATTTATTTCATAATAAGGTACGTACCATTAGTAATAAATCAAAATTTTGGACCGGCATCAGCATCTTTTCAGCAAGTCGTCAAAATTTATATGCAAAATGCAAAATATTTTTTTTTGCAAATTGATACACTTTAATACGAAACTCATAAAATGTTGATATGATGTTGGGCAATATCTTTACCGACATCAACTCATTATATTAAGTATTTTTTTAAAGTTAATTTGTCTGAAACTTATCCATGTAAAATATAAACTCGACATGCTACATTTTTTGATTGGTACGCTTTTATTATAATTTTTGAATTATTCATACGAAAAATGTAAGTAACTTTTTATTTATTTTTAGTGACACGTTACGCTTATCTGTAACTTGTTTTCAAACTACGAATTTATGGAAGAAATTTTTACCGGCGTCAAATTATTATTAGGAACTTTTTATAAAGGCGTATTTAAAGTTTAAAATTTATTTCCCACAGAACATCTGAAAATTTGAGATTTTCTTTTGGACATCAATGTCCAACATGAATTACGATTTTTTGAAATCAATAAAATTTATACAAACAAAAAAACTTAAGACTCATGAGAGTAATTTATGAACGATAGATTTTTATGATAATTTTTTTGAAATATTGGACAAGTTCTTAAACAAAAGGTTCGGAAATGACTTGGAAAATCTCTCCACAAATATTTCTCTGGTTGGAATTAGTTCAAATTTTGAACTTCAAAATTATAAGCCTTTGAATCTATCTGAAATTCATTTGACATTTGACACACCTTTTTAAATAAAATATTCATGCAATACCAGAAAAAAAATTAGCATATTAAAAAAAATTGTTGATAAAGTAGGATCTTGCGCCTAATTTTAGAACTACGTATTTTCTCAAAAATCTTAATCAGGGTCTTATCACAGGGCAAAATTGAACATATCCCTATTAAAAAAAAAACACTTTTAGCATAAAATCAGTGAAATATCAGGAAAATTAGTAAGGAGAGATGCCCGGAAATGATCTAACCAAACCAACCACTTAACTTAACGAACTTTGAATCTGCACTTCATTCCAATTTTACATTTTTTTTTGTAAAACTCTAAACCGACGTCAACCCATTACATAAAACATAATTTCTTAAATTAATATTTACTCACCTGAAATTTATCTGAGCAAAGGATAAAACAGGTATGCTATATTTATTAATTGATACGCTGTTATCCAAAATTTCTTGGACTATTCTCGAGAAATTCTTACAACTAATTTTACCAGGTCATCTAGCAAATCTGGACCATATCTTAATTTTACGAATATATCAGAGATATTCTTACCGGCGTAAAGTTAAGTTACTGCGCAAAAATTCGTGATTTTGTCAACTCGCTAAAAGTTTCGCTAAATTAAGTCCAACAAGATTTTTACCTTGGAGGCAAAATTTTGACATATTTACAACAAATTTTGGATTATTCTTGGACCTGTACCTGCACTTCATGTCATAGTTAATTGTGCAGAAAATCTTTATCGAGACCAAATCGTGATAAAAAAATAGAAGAACCAAGGCCGTTTTTTCCAGCTTTGCTATAATAATTGATCACACTTATAGCACGAAATTAGTAAAATATTTGGTTAAAATTGGAAAAATTCTTGGAGAGAAACGATCCAAAGTGACTCATCAACCAATCACTTTATGAAATTTGCCTAATCCTGGAAGCCATTTGTACCTGCATTTTATTTTAATTTTATAATCTTGACAAAAATCTTTACGGACATCAACTAATTACATACAGTATCATTTTTTAAACTAAGATTTATTTGCCTGAAGTTTATCCCAGTAAAATTTAAGCATGTGCTATATTTTTAATTAATTTTAGCTTATCATAATGTTTTGAATTATTCTAAAAAACGGTAAGTCATAAGTAAGTCAATTTATGAAATAAATATTTGATACCTACGCGTACGAGAAAACGACGCCTGGAATATCTGTAGTCAACGCATGAATTATTGAAGTTGAATTTCACCATATTTCATCAACCCAACATGACAAGGTGAGGACATAAACGACCAGCACACCTTTATATACTTGAAAGTATATTAAATAATAAAATAATGTACTGGATACGGACGTGACAAGTTTCAACTTTTGAACTCATAAGAGTAGCGATTACATCATTGAAGGTTAAATCGCTTGAGTTGAACGACAATGCTTCATATCGTGTATGCGTGTATCGATCGACTTATGTAACATTTCAGCTGATCAGTCATTGCATTTGGTAAGTATTTAATATTCCTTTTGTCTGAATTATTGTAATGTAGACGTCGTGTTACAGATTGGACAGCTTACACTTTTCTGTGAATTCACCAGATTTGACTGTAATTAAATTTCCATTAACCCACAAGGTAAGCCATGTGCATTTACTATTTATTTATGTGCAGGACTGTTGAAAATGTAAAATTATTGACACATTTATTTACTGCAGTTTCTATCTAGAAATAACACATTCATCTTGTGTGGCATAGGATTAGCAAGAGCCAACCGGTAAAGGGATAACGTAAATGTGACTAAAAATGTGGCCAGAGATGCAAGATTTAGTCTCCTTCTTATGTATCGCTATTTTTAAAATTAGATCCGATTCTTCAATCATCAAAGCAATCATCAATTCAAAAATCAATCAAAAAATCATTCAATTTCCCTAATTTTAGACACCTAATTGAATAATTTGAACGCCAAAAATGAATAAAATAAATTGGTGTTAATTAACATATTAATTTGGCTAATGTGATCGCAGATCGGAGCTAATTTTTAAAAAAATAGCGATACATAAGAAGAAGACTAAATCCTGCATGCATGGCCAGAATAAAATATTCATTCAAATTTCGAATATTGAATGAATAATTTATTCATTCATCATTAAATGAATGAATGTGAACATGTATTATTCTGATAAAGGAGCTTATTGAATTCGAAATATTATTAAAATACTAGGCCGTCAATATATAAATGGAGCATCCACCCGTCCCATTGTCCTCCGAGGGCGTCACACCTTCTTGGCTTTCCCAACTTTTGCGAACTAAAATATCCACCCATGACTTTCAAAAAGAAACCAACATTCAATCCGGCTCTGGATTTCTCAGCAGCATGGTTCGTGTGACCTGTAAATCTGAAGACGGGCAGAATTTCAACCTAATTGTCAAACTCCTCCCGGAGGACAGCACCATGTTGGAACTTACAGTTTCCGAAGAGTTTGACAAAACGGAAGTCAACTTTTACAAGCAAGTTGTAACCGACTTGGTTAACATCCTGCCAGATTTGAACCAATATTTGTGCCATTCTTACTATGAACACGTTCAACATGCAGATGAAGAGAAACATTTAAAATATACATCCGTCCTGGTCATGGAAGACTTGAAACCACGAGGCTATTATACCATCAACTTTGCTGGGGAAGAGTCAAAGCAACAATTTGAACAAGTGTTGGAATTTATGGCAAAGTTTCACTTTGCCGGGATGGTGCTGGAGACCAAGAAGAATGCCAAGTTGTGCCAGGTCAGTCAGGGAAAAATAGTAATATTTAGGTGAAGAAGAGCTAAATTTAGGTTCGGCTTTGTTTAGTTGATCCGGAGCTAAATTTAGCTCCTCAAGCTCAATTTAGCTCTGAAAAAGAGCTAAATTTAACTGAAAACTCGGCAAAATTTAGCTTGGTCAGACTTTGAAATGACCTTTATTATGCACCGACGGTTGCTTTTGTCAATTTATGTAAATTAAGCATATTTCACTTAACAAATAAGCAATGGCCCAGCTTAGTGTGATCTGATACTCTGAATAATTCGGACCTAGATTTAGGTTCTCTTCACCTAAATCTTACCCATGAAATACCAATATCTACCAGTGAAGCTACATCAGTCATCCATGAATCTTACCCTCTTTCCCTCCTTCAGGTATACAACTTTCTTCAAGGAGTATCAGATTCAGGACCTTCAATGTTTTACGAAATGTCGAAAGCCGGCTTTGTCGAAATAATTCAGCTTTTATCCGATCACGCATCACCACCCCCGGTGATTGAAGCTTACCGAAAAATGGCCCCACATTCTGATACTATCATTAAAAAAGTACAAGAAGCCAGCAAAGAGTTTGCTTGTTTGATTCACGGGGATTTATGGTCCAACAATTGTCTTTTCAATGATGACCCCCAATTCCACACCAAAATCATCGACTGGCAACTGCTGGGTTATAAGGATCCTAATTATGATGTTGCAGTCACAATAGTTTCCAGCATTCCGGTGAAACAATTGACTAAAGAAAAGGTCACGGAGAGTCTGAAGCATTACTACGAGACGTTTCTGGCTGAATGTGCAAAATCTGGTGGAAATCTGAGAACACGGGACTGGGATCAATTTTGCAAATTCTTTTACACTTGGGGCATGTCGTACACGATGCTTTGGTTCCTCATGGCGAGTGATCCGTTCTCCTTGAATGTTCCACGACTTGTAAAAATTTACGAGTTTTTGATTTTGGAAGCGAATGTTCATGAATTTTTATTGAGCCAAGTGGAGGAGGTGTAATGTCCGAGCAGTGTCAATTTTTTGTACATATTATTCAGATTTTTGGAATAAATCACTGTATATTACTGTTAATTACTGTTAATTACTTTCTGTAGTGAGTTAGTGCGGATAATCGTAATCGAATCATAATTGTGCTTGATCAAATGTACAGATAAATGTGGGACAAATGTAAATTCAATTATGTGGCATGGCGCAAGCATGTTTAATCAAATGTGAAGCATACAAATTCCGAGGAGAGGAGGCCTATTAACAGACAATTTCATTTCTAAAAGGGGTTTGTGAATATTTTGAGTGCTAATTCTGTGTCCGATAAGTGGGTAGGATTTTCTAAAAACTGTTTTAGCTTGTCCCAACAGTCTTCGAGCTCTTGGTTTATTGATTTCCCAGAAATTAATAATTGACATCAATGGATAACACGATTTTTTGAGTCAATCAAATTTATTTTAAAAATTTATATTTATCCAAACAAAACTTTAAGCTCTTGAGAATATGTAATTTATGAATTGATTCACACTTTTATCCACAATTTTTTGAAATCCGGGACAAGTTATTAAAATAAACAAGTTCAGAAATGTCAAATTTCTCCCCAAATTACTTCCATTTGTAAACTTACAGCATGAAATTTTGATATCATATTGGAAAATTTATGGAATCCATCTGAAATTCATCTGGTACACTTTTAATAATAGATCAGGCGTACTCGTTTCAACACGCCATCACACATTCACAAATTTGCAACAATATGTTTTTGCAACAAGGCAAAATGTTTTAAATTTTCATAAATTATTTCTTTTCTGCGAATAAGAATTCATCTGGTACTTGTTTTAATACGTGTTAAAGATTTTGTCAAAATTCCAAATTGTCATCGACCCATGCATGAAACATGAAGTACAGCTTTTCAGTGTACTACTGTGGGGAAGAAAAGTATGAGTGAGATTTGACGGGTGCATTGATGTGGTGGTCGCGTAGTACAAAGGAGTACGTCTGGGGCTATGCCGGAATATGTCTTCTTCGATGGAGACCGGGGTCACCAAGTTTTTGCACTATACCGTTATTTCTCATTCCTACACTACTATTACTTTGTAGCAACTTTAAGGTTCCAAAATCGAAAATGATTTTGAAATTAATTATTATGATTAATTTAATTAATTTAATTAATTAAAATAAATAAATACATTTAATTAATCATGATTAATTAATTTCACATATTAATTTTCATAAATTAATTCAGTTGCCCTACTCACTCAAGTATTGAGAAAAGACCTGTAACTGATGATACAAACAATTACGATTTTCTCAAAATTCTCAAACCGGCATCAAACATATATAAGTGACGCTTTTTTAATTTCATTCTAACAAAAAAGTTTAAAACTATGGTTAATCTTTTAGGTAATGAAATTCAGGAAGTATGAAACAATTTCTTGACAAACATATTCGAAAATTGGAAAAAAGAGATTTCCATAAACTATTTTTAAAGTAAAGTTTAAGATTTTTCTGATCTTAATTTCACTATGCATTACTAATTTCTTCAGGACTCTCGAATGGCAAAAACACAAATTTCTTTCTAATTTTTTGTGCAAATAAAATCCCACCTGCAACTTTTTGTGACACGCAATGAAAACTTTTTCAAAATTCTCAGCATGCACATGAAAGCGGGTTTTTCAATATACGGAAGTAGATACATTTTTTAATAAGCTCGAAAATTGACAAATTAATTTTCAGGAATTAATTCGGCTGTCCTACAACATGAGCCTAGAAAATCACGTAATATGATCAATCAATTACGATTTTCTCATAATTTCCAAACTGGCATCAAGTCAATACAAGTACATATTTAAGTGACCTTTTTTAATATTGTTAAGAAATTTCGTTTAAAAAAGCATAATCCATCTGAAACACCTTATTAAAACAGTATTCATGACATATACGAAGAAAGCCAAATTTTTCGGATATTTACAAAGAGCTGTAGATCAATTACTTTGGGAAGAAATTGGACATCTACATACCTCGTTTTAGAACCAAAAATCTTAAAATCGTGGCTTAAAGTATTTACTTCACTGATTTTGTTCAACTAAAATTTGCGTCATATTTTTAATTGATACACTTTTGTCATAATTTCAATTTGTATAATTTCAAAATAATTTAATTTTTTGAAATCAAGTTCTTAAAAGAAGTGTTCAACAACAATGGGATTTAATCTGCACGTTAATAAATGTTTCAAATTTACACAAAAAAATCCTACCGGCGTCAAGTTGCACTGCACAAAAAAAACAACGTAAGTCATGATTTTGTCAAATCGTTAAAAGTTTTCAAGTCAAAAGTTGAACCATTTTTTTTTATTGGTGCATTTATAACGTAAAATTACTGCAGTACATTTTAAAAAATCCCAAATACCTAGAAAAAAAATCCATCAATTAGTTTTCATGGATTAATTCAGCTATCGCCACAAAAAAACATGTATATAGAGAAAAATTATTATTTCGTTATTTATTATAGCGTGGAACCCTATTAGGCGAAGACTTTTGTCTGTCTGTCTGTCAGCAGGATTGCGACTGAGATCGGTTTGCGGAAGAATACGTATGACCTCAGGAGGAGGATCTTATCAACTTTTGGGATCAATCGAACCCCCCTTGAAGTCAGCGGGTGGGGTCACATATTTTTCGGGGGAATTACTAGTTTCGCCCTATTGCTACATTTGGTTTGCGACGGTTTATTTTGTAAAAGCTTACAAAATTATTTTGCTAAACACACGGATTTTACAAGTTACCAAGGACTGCGTGAATTTTCTCCATAAATTATTTTCTGCATAGGCAAAACTTATCTATAGCTGAAGAATAAATTACAATTTTCCCAAAAAACAGAAGTTTTCAAACCGCGGTTACTTTTGACATAATTGATGAGTGTTTATATACACTCTTATTTCACGAAATTATCGAAACATCATAAAGTTTCCTGAAAAATTGTTCGAAATTGAACGTGCTGTATATTTATAAAAATCTATAAAATTTATGAATTGATGTATATTTATCTGATTTTATTTAGAAATATTCCCCAAAATAGTGAACATATTTAATTCGGTTTTACAAGGAAGAAACAACCAATTAGAGTTTCTCAACGGGTTCGGGTTGTTATCGGGTTTCGGGTCGTTATCGGGTCGGATTCGGATCGCTCTCCAAACAAATCCGATTATCGGGTATATATCGGATACAAGTATCAGGTTTGGGTTTCGGATGAAGGATTTCGAACCCGTTGAGAAATACTGCAAACAACATCTCTAATCTGACAATTACTAAACGTCTCGAACTTTTATTCCTAATTATTTACTGGCATCAAACCATAACATTAAGCAGGATTTCTCACCTGGTAAAAATGTATTTGTTATTAGCGAATGAATAAATCTATTAAATTCAAACCTTTTAAATAGCATTTCCTATTTTATTCTTTTTATATAAACAATGTTACCTTCAGAAATATAAATGGAAGCTTAATTCATAAATTAATTGTTAAGTTGTCATTTCGCGAAGCTTTTCAATATTTCCAGGGTTCACTTACCTCGCATGAAACCTAAATATTCTCTCAAATATCTCAAATTGATCTAAACAAACCAAAAATACTTTAAGACTGGCTCAGATTAGGCAATTCCTCTAAAAAAGCGTTACCCAATGATACAGTTTTCGCTTTAGTCCTCAATCCTATCTACAAAAACAATTATCAAAATTTTTAAATTTTTCCATAATTCTAAACTGGCCTTAAACCACTATATCACGCACAATTTTAACAAATCGCTCAGATTTATCGATTCAAAAATTAAAACGAGTTTGATTTAATTTACTTGATACACTTTTCTCATAAATTTTGTAAATGGGGGGAATTTTTTTGAACGAAACTGTCTTAAAATAGCGAACCTTTCCATAAGTTAAGTCTGAACCAATTATTATTACTGATTAAAATCATTTCAATTTCAATTCAATATTCAATTTATTAGCATTTGATATGGCCATGAGCCCTCATCAATAGAAATTACAGAGCTAGATATGTAAATGTAAATAAAGTAAAGTAGTCAGAGGAATAGTGGGAAAACCTGGCTATGGTGTAGAGCCAGGAAAACCACTATCACCTCTGGGAATGTGGCCCAGAGGTCCATTCGGCTCTGACTACATCACCCAGGCAGGACAAATGAGCGATAGGGATCATAGGCAGATTCCGCGAAGAACTGCTGATATCCAAATGAGGACGGCGTCGTGACGGCGGAAGCAAGGTGAGTGAAGGTTGTTGGGCGGGGCGTCCACGGACCACGAAATACCTTAGCGCCCTCACGGGCACGGGCTACGTGTCCCCTTCAAGGTCACACAGTGTGACCAGGGCCGAACGACACTACCCACTTGCCCCTTCACCCACCCCTCACAGCACAACCGGGCCATGGGACCCCCGTAGGCCCGACTACACTGCCCACCGCCATGCACGACCCCGTCCCCACTCTTCTACCAACCGCCCCCACGGTCACCACCCCGATATACCAAACAATGACCTACCTGGGGGGAGTCCTCCATGGCGTAGATCCTCCCGTGCACTGGGTCCGGCGAATCCATCTTCGCCTGATGGCTCGGCTTGTCGTTGCTGGGACGGTTGTGGCAGGGGGTGTCACCAGGCACGCAGTTGGGGGGTGTGAGTGGACGAGGCTCACAGGGCGAAAAGCCTGGGACACACTTGACTTGCCCTGGCACACCCGCGACCCAGATGGAAGAGAGAGAATCCAGTTGCAGAGCGAGAGAGAGACACGTCGTGCACGGTTGGAAGCCAAAGAGGATCTCGATTAAAATCAATTAGCATTAATTAATCTAAAATTCATTACCATCTGACGACCTTATGAATTTTTCCATAACGTAAATTATGTTTTTTTTACAAATCCTTGAAATTTCTCACAAAGACATGTTTTTGAATTTTTGGATTCGCGCCAAAATTCGAAAATTTGCGGAATTTTTAAAAAGCGAGGTTTTGGCTGAAAAATGTTTTAAAATTCGCGCCACGCGCTCAAATTAGCGCATTATGAAAAATGAAAAAATACGGGTATG